AATTTGAAGAGTGATCCTATAGCTTCCTAGCCTTCATGGTTGCCTAGATTTTTCTGATAAGATACTAAACCTTACCCATACCTCATAGTGTTCTCGAAGAATGGATGGGGGCAATACAGCAGCCAGGAACAACAACAATGGGAATAATGCCATGTCTAGAAAACAAAGAAGAGAAAAAAGATCTGCATTTAAATGTTTAGTACAAGGAGTTCTGAGTAACACAGAAGGTATGGGGGAAGTAATGAGATCCATTTCCAGGATTTACTAGCAATATAACAAGGGGGACATTCTATTTATATCATCACAATGGTAATAAAATCAACTCAAGAAGTCTGCTGCGAGCTGGTGCAATAAGGAATAAGTCAAAGTTCCTAAGTGCAGCTCCCCAAAGCATGCACCTACGAGTGCTCCGGGTTGTTAGCGTCTTCTCCAGAGTTAAACTAAAATCCATGGAGGTCCTCTCTTCAGATTCTAGAAATTTAGGAATTCTTCCTTTATCCTTTCAAGAGTAGCAAAAGCACCCAGCAATTACCATGGCAGGATGCTGCTATGATATGATTTACCCTTGTTTGATAAGTTATAGTTTGATATAGTAAGCTCTGCCTACTCTATTATAGGATGTTTGTTTGTTATTCATTCATTAAAAGTTTTTCTTTTCTTGTAGAGACAAGATTCCACTATGTAGCCCAGTCTACCTTCAAACCTACAACTTGGCCTCAGAATCTCAAGTGCTGAGACATATCTGTACATTACCATACACAACTCTTGTCATAATTTTACATCAATGTCCTTAACTTGGTTCATGTTCCCAGTATATTAACACATTTATTCTCAAACACTGGTCCATAATACCAAGATTGAACCTTGAAAATCTTAGACCTTCATCGTCATGTTTTACATATAATGGTAAATGTATGATAAATTAATGTCATGTCCAACAATAGGAAAATCATTTAAATAATTTGGAATATATTCTCTTATTAAGGGCATTAAGTAAAACACACTCTCATGAGCACAAACATACACATACACACACACTTTATTGTGTGCTGGTATGCATATATATATATATATATATATATATATATATATATATTCATACGTGTGGAGACCTGAGGCAGACATTAGGTGTTCCCAATTGCTCCCTACCTTATTAGTTGAGACAGGATCTGTGAGGGAGCCCCAAACTCACCATTTCAGTGAGTCTGGCTACAAAGCTTTGGGTATTCTCTGTCTCTACCTTCTGCCTGCATTGAAGTTATTAGCATGCAGCCACACCCACCTGGCTTTTAAGTCAGTTCTGGTGATTTAAACTCTGGTGCCCATGCTTGCATAACAAGTGCATTCTCTACTGAGTCATACTGCCAGCATTTACAGCGGGCTTTTAATGATTTCTTCTAACCAGATAGAAGTTTTCCTTACTCTACAATTAATAAAGGCCTATATAAAAGGATGCAATGCATAAATAAGTAAA